AGCTATCATACTCGATATAGCTAGCTAACTCAATAAAAGTGGTACGGATAGCTAGCTATCACAAGCCGATATTGCCCGATAACATATTTTTATACCTAGATAATCTCAAAGGCATTTTTTTGCTTGGGATGTCGAAATTGAAGATCATCTTTTAATTTTTGATGATATAAAATTCTTAATTGTTTGTTCAAGTTTTCTTTGAATTGATTATTTGATTTATAGAAATTTATACAGCATTTAGCAAATTCTTTTAATTCTGAATGACAAGTTTTTTCGTTGTTTATATTGTTCCAAATCATCCTCATATTTCAATTATAATTTAACAAAAAATTCCTGAAGTTCTCGTTCATGACGTTCACAATAAACAGTTTTCAATTGATCAAGTTTTTCTTCTAAAAATTGTAAATTTATTGACGATTGAAAATGAAAATTTGTTTGATCATCTATTTGAATATCTTCGTTTAATTTCGATTTTTTTTTCTAATTGATTGAAATCAACATGAAAAATTGGAAGATTACTTTGTGAATGTTTTGCTGTTTCAATGAGTGAATTCATTTGTCGATTGAATTCTTCTACATGTGAAATTGAAATAATGTTATTATTAGAAAGGATAGTTTGCATTTTTGATAAAGTGGATTCGAATTGATTTAATATTGAATAAAAAGTTCGTATGGATTGATCATCGATGTTAGTTAATGGTAATGAATTGAGTTTATTATTTAATAATCGACGACTGTCTTCAATAGCTTTTTGTAGATGCAATGAATTTGAGTTGTCTCTTTCATTATATAAGAGATGTAAGAGATGGATTATATGTACAAACTTTACCTTTTCCTACTTTCCTAATTTGAATAGAATGTGGAAAGATTTAAAGATTATTTTGTCTATTCTTGAGATTGATCGAATGTGTACTAAAAGAAAGGAATGTTTAAAGTATTTCTATCGATCTATCTGAGATTATGAATTCAGAGTTTTTTCTGAAAATGCGGTTTTATTTTCGAACTCGAATTAGGCGTCTGCACTGGAAAAAAAATAGGTACACTATCGAATCCCCAAAAAAGGTTCCGGAGACGTCGACAAGCTTGCAAATGTGTTTAAAGTTCCAAAAAACGAATAAAAACATCTGCGGAACCTTTAAAGAATCTTCCTGTGTGCCGAGGGGAAGATTCATTTTTCTGCGGAACCTTTTTTAAGTTTCGTACAGCAAAAAAGGTTTTGTAGGAAAACACAGAACCTTTAGAGGTTTATACTGAACCGCATGGTTTCGCACTGAGGATTCGTATGAAATCATTAAGGTTCGACGCGAAACTCTAAAGGTTCTGTATTTTCCTATGGAACCTTTTTTTGCTGTACGAAACTTAAAAATGGTTCCAAAGAAAAATGGATCCCCCCAAGCTATTCACGGCTTTGTTTGCTAATGGATGTGTCAGATTTTGGAGATGATCGACACCTCACTTGTGACTTACTTAACATGAAACGGAGCAGTCTTTCTTTGAAAAGTATCTGCTTTCATTCGAAGAGTTGTGGATCGGCTGCCTCTGACCCTGTCGCTGAGCTTCTCACTGAGGCGGTCGCTGATCGTGCCAGTGAGGTCGTCACTGAGCTTGCTACTGAGTTTTCGCTGCGGTTGTCGCTGAGCTTACCACCGAGCTTGTCAGTAAGACTGTCACTGAGCTCGCTGATAAGCTTGTCCCTGAGCTTGCCACCGGGCTTGGGAATAAGCTAGTCACTGAGCTTACCACTGCGGTTGCCTCTGACCCTGTCGCTGGGCTTGTCGCTGGGCTTGTCGCTGGGCTTGTCGCTGGGCTTGTCGCTGGGCTTGTCGCTGGGCTTGTCGCTGGGCTTGTCGCTGAGCTTCTCACTGAGGTTGTCGCTGAGCGTGCCAGTGGGGTCGTGACCGAGCTTGCCACTGAGTCTATGAATAAACTGGAAACTGAGCTTGTCGCTGAGCTTACCACCGAGCTTGTCAGTAAGACTGACGCCGAGTTTGCTCCAGGCTCGTGAATAGGCTAGTCGCTGAGCTCGTGAATGAGCCAGTCAGTGAGCTTGCCACTGACAATGTCGCTGAGCGGGCCACACGTGCTCTAGAGATGGAAATAACAACTGTACCATCACAATCAGAATTAGCAGTGATATCGACGAGTACCTCTCTATCGGACTCACATTCAACGCCATTGTTACCTTCTAACACAAAGTCACTGGTATTACGACATCGTAATCTATCACATGAATGGCCTCAATTGCCTCAAAAATCTCCACGAAGTTGGTCATCATCGCTTCGTGAAACATTACCGTCATTTATAACAGCACTTATTATTGCTTTGACGCTGTGGTCATCTAAAGCACATGGTCGTTTTTTCAATACGTATGATGGCGACGGACCAAGATCAATGCAGCTGCATAGTGTACCCGAACTTTGGTACTTTATGGTACCCTAATCCAGCTCCGTGACAACCGTTATCCCACTGAATATTTTGGCATACTGATTTCCTTACAGCTCTGATATACACATCGTTTGACTGATTCTTGTTCTAAACTTTTCTTTCTGTTGTTTACAGCGTTTGGCATTAGTTCATTCTCTGATGAGCCAGGAGGCCTATTAAGTGAGGGAAGCCTATTAACGAGAGCGAGAAAACTGTACGAGAAATGTAAAGTAAAAAGTGTAAGTAAAAGAAATGAAGAAAAAGGTGATAGTGAGTGGTAGTAGGCGGACGAGTATGGATATAGTTTAGCAAAAATACCTTTTTCTTTAGACTAAGTACTTTTAGTGTAACTATATCTTCTAAAGGCGCACCAGAAATCTGATCAGCGTTTTGGTATCTTTTTGTTGCATTATGGTTCCATTTCTCCCTCTTCCATTTATTATTAATTGTCAAACACATTCACCCTCAGATTCATATTCAGGCTCAAGCTCACGAAATTTGCAGCAATTTATTATAACCAAACGTAAGACACAAGAGCAAAACGTCATTAAAAGGACTTTGTGAGCACTGGAAAAGTACCACGACAAAGCAGTACCTTTGCGCTGATATGAATAGAAACTCGAGAATTCACAGAGTATATAGTTCAGAACTAGCAACAGGATTGAACGACGTGTCCAAACCAACAGTCACAAGAACTTTGGCGGAACTGAGCACCGTTGCAGTATGATAGTATCGCGCTGTTGTCATGTTTGCAGTAGAGTTCCACTGCCCCGTTGATGGATCATATACTTCGGAACTAGCAGCAGGTTTATCATACGTGTCAGTACCACCAGCCACAAGAACTTTGCCAGAACTGAGCAGCGTTGCGGTATGATATCTTCGCCCTGTTGTCATGTTTCCAGTAGAGTCCCACTGGGCTTAAGTACGAAACGTTAGAGCATTAGTTACTATTCTAATTGTAGTGATATAAACGAATCTCAGTTCGAAGTGTTTTTAAGTGAGGTCGTCACTGAGCTTGCTATTGAGTCTGGGAATAAGCTGGTCACTGAGCTTGCCGCTGACCCTGTCAGCAATTTATTTTAACCAAACGTAAGACACAAGAGCAAAACGTCATTAAAAGGACTTTGTGAGCACTGGAAAAGTACCACGACAAAACAGTGCCCTTTGCGCTGATATGAATAGAAACTCTAGAATTCACAGAGTATATAATTCAGAACTAGCAACAGGATTGAACGACGTGTCCAAACCAGCAGTCACAAGAGCTTTGGCGAAACTGAGCACCGTTGCAAGATGATGCGCCCGCTCTGCAACCATGTTTCCAGTAGCGTTCCACTGCCCCGTTGATTGATCATATAATTCAGAACTAGCAATACATTTGAACGAGGTGCCATCACCACCAGCCACAAGAACTTTGCCAGAACTGAGCAGCGTTGCAGTATGATGGTACCGCCCTCTGTTTCCAGTAGACATCCACAGCCCCGTTGATGGATCATATAATTCAGAACTAGCAATAGAATTGAACAACGTGTTGACACCACCAGCCACAAGAACTTTGCTAGAACTGAGCAGCGTTGCTGTATGATATCCTCGCCCTGTTGTCGTGTTTCCAGTAGAGTCCCACTCGGCTTAAGTGCGAAACGTTAGAGCATTAGTTACTATTCTAATTGTAGTGATATAAACGAATCTCAGTTCGAAGTGTTTTTAAGCTACTCAAGGCTTTGTTTGCTAAAGGATGTGTCAGATTTTGGGGATGATCGACATCTCACTTGTAACTTACCTAACATGAAATAGAGCAATCTTCCTTTGAAAGGTATCTGCTTTTATTGGAAGAGTTGTGGGAACTTTCAGAATGCACTTTGCACTGTACAGTTGTTACATGAAGGCAGGTATTAGATGAAGCACCTTCGAGATCCTAACACATGATTTCATGAACGTGTCGCTGAGCTTGTCACGGAGCTCGTTGATAAGCTTGGCACTGAGTTTGCCACCGGGCTCGTGTATAAGCTAGTCACTGAGCTTGTCACTGAACTTGCCGGTGAGTCTGCCGCTGACCCGGTCGCTGCGCCTGCCATTGCGCTTGCCACTGAGGTTGTCGCTGAGCTGGCTACTGCGTTTGTGAATAAGCTGGTCACTAAGCTTGCCGCCGACCCTGTCGCTGCGGTGGTCACTGAGCTCATCGCTGTACTTGGGAATAAGCTACCCACTGGGTCTGCCACTGCGGCTGACTCTGACCCTGTCGCTGAGCTTCTCACTGAGGTTGTCGCTGAGCGCGCCAGTGAGGTCGTCACTGAGCTAGATAGTGAGTCTGTGAATAAGCTGGTCACTGAGCTCGTCCCTGAGCGTGCCACTGTGCTTGCCACCGGGCTCGGGACTAAGCTGGTCACTGAGCTTGCCACTGAGGCTGTCTCTGACACTGTCGCTGAGCTTCTCACTGAGGTTAACATTTAAACCAGGAAAAACTTCTTATTTTATTCAAAAAATACTTTTTTTATCTGAGGAAAGTCCTTTTTCTATTTGTTTGTAAAGGAACCAAATTTATGAAAAAACGGAGCTTCATAAAAATGATTATTTATGGAAATCCTTTTATGGAATACCCAGATAAAGATCAAGCTACTCATGTGCTAATGTCTAATTAGGCTATGCTACATCGTATATCGTTTAGACAATAGCTATTTAATAGGAGAAAAAATAGAAAGAAATCTTTTCGTTTCAAACTTATTCAAACGTCCTGAATTTGCCTAATATTCTAATTTTTCTACATTCTTACTTTCCAATTTATATGAGATCTCACGAGGAAGAGCTGAATACGTACCACTAGTGGATGATGTGAATGGCTCTGTTTGCAGCTGATTACTAGTGGCACCCGATGCACTTGATGTTTTTGACGTAAATAATGAAGTGAATGATTGAACAGGTGACGTTGGTTTTGTTTTTGATGGTTTAGTTGGTTTCGGTCGTTTAACAGTCTTTGACTTCGTGACAGGAGAAAGTTTTGTTCGTCCTGTTATTTGGAACAAAGCTGAAACAGAAAAAAAGTGACTCTTGTTGTATCTCTTGTTTAACAGCCTTGACTGGTTCCAGTTTTCTGAGTTTGTAAACGTTCTTTTGTAAACGCAAGAGTTTTCTCAGAAGAGAATGAAGTTGGTTGGTGTGGGTTCACACCAGTAGTTTTTGGCGCAATAGTTGAAATGAATACAGAGAATAACGATGTCATTTGGCTAGTTGTTATTCTTGAACTGCGGGTAGCAGTTTTCTCGGGTGTTCGTGAGATTGTTTTTAATGAGAAGGGCGGTGGATTCGAAACATCTTGAGTGAAGGAGACATCTGCAGCGTTACCGGAGGTTGAAGACAGCTGTTGTGGTTGATTATTCACCATTGAAGTCGTTAGTATCTGCAGTGTTGTTGAATTATTATTACTGCTACTATCATTACCACCGCTCGAGGATGAAGACAGCTGTTGTGGCTGATTACTAATCGTTGATGGCGTTAGTATCTGCAGTGTTCTTGAATTACTATTACTACTACTACCACCGCTTGAGGGTGTTAAACCGAAGAATGTCATAACTAAAGAGGAAAAATAAGTCACATTAGATAGTAGCTTCTTGAATATTCTATTCTATTCTTTGAAAGAGTTGACATAAGGACACTGTTTCTAGTAATAAAATATTGAGCAAAGTCTTGTTAATTAAGGTCATGTGAAGAGGAAATAATTTTCTCGCGGACAAGCAGAAGACCAAAGACAATTATGTAAATTGTAGTCTTCAAACAAGATGGATGCGTCCAACTGTGTCTGAGAAAATTAACATTTTTCGTTCAACTTCTAATCCTACGACCAATAATTTCAATATGCCTACACCAAATTGGTAAATCGTTCAAATCATATGGTATCTCTTGAATCTGTTTATCTATATCACTAATTAATTTCGTCAATTTGTTAATTCCACTAT